TTGTTGTTCTCTTAAGAACCATTCTGGCAGAAAAAAAAAAATGAAAACAAAAATACCGAAAGGTTATTTTCAGTAAGGTTACAAATACAAACCTTTGAATTGTACTGCGTAGTTTGAACTGTTAATCTTTCGGCTCAAAATCACCTGAATACAGTAGGTGATGTTTTTTACCAGACTACCGAAAAAAAAATAAAAATACAGTAGGGAAAACGGTGCTTCAATTATTCCATTGATTCATTCAGTCTCTTCTTGATCACCAAATATTGAGTAAACCAACTTTATTACTTCTTTCGACTGATTTTTAAAAATTGCGTCTGTCCCAGATGTAAATCAGATGTGTCTGTTTCTGCTCGTGAATGTGTGAATACATTCCGTCTGTGGTCAGTGAATGAGGAATGTTTAGGGTAACGGTTACATCTCACGGCCAACGTTGAAAGCCCTGTTAAAAGAAATTGCTGATGATTTAAGTGACGATCAATTAGAAGCAGCCGTAGATGAAATCGATGAAGATGGTTCCGGCAAGATTGAATTTGAAGGTAATTGAAACAATTATTGAAACAGCTGTCCTTTTAATGAGACCAATAATTTAATCAAAAGAAAAAAAAAAAGAGGAAAAGACCTTACACATAGAAGTATCTAGATATGCAAAAAGTATAAAGACAAATATTAAGATGTATAAACCAATCATTAGTTTAAAAAAACACCATTATTTCTTCTGCTTTCGTGAGGCTGCTGAGATATATTTGAATGCGGAATTTGTTACCCCTGCTGGCTGATGTAATAAGAAAAATGAGAGTGAGGCGTTACAAAACCACTGCAGATGCTTACAATTACCTAGGTAATATACCCAACGGCTAGCTTATTAGCGCTTTGAGTTGGTAAATAACGGTAATTTGAATAATTCAAAATTAGCACATTCAAAGACCCGTCCCTCTCGCCGTGCTCTTTTCAATGCAGTAAGATGAGCATTCTGCTACTGAAACAAAGAGGAACGTGAAGCGATTTTCCAGCTAACCTAAGAAATATTTTTTTATCAAAATTCACTACTTCTTTCCCTACTTTTAACTTGTATTATTCCTCACAAACAGATAACCTTATTACCTGTCCTTCAAAACTAACAGCTGTTCTTTGCAGAATTTTGGGAACTGATGGCCGGTGAAGC